GTGGTCCTACGATATCAAGACATATTCGTTCAAAAGGTTTAACTACTGTACTAGTAATTAACATAGGTTGTTTTGTTTTAACATGTGATTTGTTTTTCTGACATAGTTCACAGTGTTTAATATAACGTTTAACGTCTTTTTTAATATTACGCCAGTCGTGGTTAAGTTTTAATCGTTTTAATGTGCGTGATACACCGGAGTGCCCGCCCAAAGGTGAATCGTGGTGCTCGTAAATAATTTGTTGTTTTTCCTCGTCGGTAAAACGTTCACCCGTATATATTTTTACTACGATGTCGGTCGAACGAAACAAGTACCGAAACATCGTTCGAATTCTTAAGAAGTTTGTTAATGAAGTAGGTCCGTCTATCTTGACAGTAGAAAAGGATTTAATTTGATTCGCAATACAATATTCACGAATATCGTATATGGCTTTATAAATAGTTTCCGCTTCCAACGGTACTGTGGGTGTTTTGGAAATGTTATAAAATATAATTAATTTTGTACCATCGGTGTAAGTACAGAACCGGTTTTCGTCTGTAAACTGTATTTCGTTAAAAGCAATATTTTCGGTAACTGCACGTATCGTCGGATGAGTAATAATTTTGTCTTCCGGAATCGTGACTATAATGTTTTCACTTTCCGTGACCTTGCTAACGTCGCCCTCGATCTCGAGAATTTTAGAATTAAATATTGGCTTATTCTCGGCGGTACGGAAGTCCTTGAACTCGGTATCGAAATTCGTAGATTCCGTTTGTATTATTCGTATACGCGATAAACACTCGGCGTTCGAGTGTTCGGGTCCCGCCCTATACGTAATAGTATAATCGTAATCGGCTAGCTGTAACCGCCAGCGCATAAGTTGCGACGATGCGTCTTTAATACCAAACAGGTATGTTAATGGTCGATGATCCGTTATAATGTTGAAATGACGACCATATAAATAAGGTCTGAAATATTTTACGGCCCAGACGATGGCTAATAATTCTTTTTGGATAACGCTATAGTTGCATTCAGCTTTGTTTAATGTCCTACTCGCGTATGCGATAGGTTGGTCTTTAGGAACGGTCCCTTGTGACAAGACGGCCCCTATTGCATATTGGCTCGCGTCGGTCATTAAGTTGAACTCCCCGTTTTTCCAATCTGGATAGACCAGTAATGGTGGGTTCATTAAAGCTTTTTTTAGTTCCTCGAAACTATGTTCGCAGTTATCGGTCCATACGAATGGTACGTTTTTCTTAAGTAAGTAAGTTAGTGGTTTTGCGATTTTCGCAAAATTGTCGACGAAACGTCTAAAATAGTTAAGTAGTCCTAAAAATGATTTAATATCCTTTGCATTTTTCGGTCGAGGATATTCTCGGATACATTTTAATTTGTTTGGGTCCGGGGAAACTCCTGTTTCATTTATTACATGGCCTAAGTACAATACTTCTTTCCTTAAGAAAGAACATTTATTAGGTTGTAATTTAAGTTTGTGCACTCGCAGCCTATTGAATACCTGTTCTAATTTCTTCTGGTGGTCCCTTAAACTGGATACGTGTACTACAATGTCGTCAAGATACGCGGTACACATTTCCTCAAGGCCCATAAGTACTGATTTCATTGTGCGTGTAAAAGTAGCCGGAGCTGAACTCAGCCCGAAAGGCATGCGTAAAAATTCGTAGTGACCGGATTTCGTAGAAAAGGCTGTTTTATGGGTATCAGCAGGGTCTATATGCAGCTGATGATACCCTGAAGCCAAATCCAACGTACTGAAGTACTTGGACGATCCTAGGGATTCTAATATCTCTAGTAAATTTGGGAGGCCATAAGCTTCATTCTCGGTTACTTCGTTAAGTTTTCGGAAATCTACGCATACTCGTAATTTGGGTTTCTCTGTCGGATCTAGATTTTTCTTTTTCACTACTACGGGTGGAAAATTAAAAGGTGATTTAGAATCTCGTATAATATTGTTATGTTTCATCTCTTTAATTTGTTTTTCAATTTCTTCTTGGTACGCCCAATGTAAACGATACGGTCGTATATTAATTGGATTTGTACAACGCGGTGTGTTTATTTGTGTGTGTCACGATTTCTGTGGCGCTCAAATAGTCGCCCGGTAGGTAAAACAGGTCCGCGTAATTACAACAGAGTTCGAGAATACTTTCGCGTTCCTCTTTATTTAAATCGTCGGTTTTAATCTCGCGTTTAATCTGTGTTATACGATCGCTTGGTTCGGTATCTGCGAAAGATGCAGTTAATACGTTTTCGTTATACGGCTCCCACTCGATATGTTGTATGGTAAGCTCGTCTATTACAAAAGGTTCTTCCGAAATATTTATTACGTTACTAATGTTATCTTTATTGACCGGACTTATACTGTTCGCGATTATTACGTTTTCGTTTACGTCCTGTTTTTTTATAGTAATATTCTCGTGACTTATGTTTTCGTCGTTTTTAATAAGTAATACACAATTGCTACGCGGTGGTAATATAATTTCGTTAAAACCAGTTTTTTCGGGTATAGTTAATAAATTTTGGCTATAGTCCATTATGACCTTATTTTGTTTTAAGAAGTTACGACCGATGATGCCTGACTCGTTTATTGGAAAATCGCCAAAAACGACGTCGAATTTTATGAGGACCTCTACATCGTTAATTTGCATACTGTTTAGTATTGTACCTATGGTAAATATAGGAATTTTATTAATGCCTTTTATTGTGCGTTTCGCGGATTCGTTTACTACGACATGTCCTTCTAACGCGGTTATTTTAATAAGGTTCATCTCCACGCCGGAGTCGACTAATAATTTAATTTTACGAGGTTTGAAATTATCTGATGCACATATTATATGTTCCTCCTCGAAATTGGCTACAACTCTTACATGATTTTGGCTAATTTAATTTACTGTGCGGCTGGTGCTAGAACTTTCACCTTCCTTATTATTCGTTTTTTTACTTTCGTTATAAATACGTTTCCTACAATCTTTTATATTGTGGTTTGTTTTTTTACAGTACGCGCAGAATCGAACTTGTCCCTGATATTCGCGTTTTACTATACTGGTTTTGTCATCGCGACTGTTAATGGGATTCCTAAAATTTGTGCTGTATGATGTACCGGCGTTACTGCGGCACTCATTTGCATAGTGGCCCATCTTGCTACATTTATTACATTTAATATTATTTTTATTCGCGTTATTTTTCCCGTAATTATTTCCCGTGTTACTCCGTCTATTAATATGTTGGAGGTCCTGTTCCTCCTCGATCGCGATTGTAATGGCATTTTCGAGCGAAGATACGTCACGCGCTCGTAAAAACGACCTAATTTCGGGTTTTGCCCCGTTAACGAATGCAGTAAGCGCCCCCAATTTATGTGATGAGGCTACCGCTGCTGCTGATGCTGCCTCTAGTCCTAGTGTTAATGCTCCTACTAATTCATGATAGCATTTTTCAGTTCGCCCAGCAAAACTACGAACGTCCTCGTCGGATCGTTGTCTAATGTTACTAGTTGTGATTGCAAATAGTTAATTGAATGTGGTGCCCCAAAAACGTTCCTAAGGTGGTTTTTGAGTTCTAACCAGTTCGAGAAATTTCGGTAACGAGTAGCTTGGTAAGCGTCTCCCTTCAGTTTGGATAGTATATTGCGAAATACTACTGTTACAAGATTTTCATGGATATTTTCCATTACGTAATTACATTCTGTTATATATGAGGCTAGTTCTACCTCGGTACCCCCGCTAAAGTTAGGTATGCCGCGCAAGGCGGACTCAATTCTTAATATTACGCTCATGACTGTCGTTTGTAAAGTTTGCGGGTTATATTTAACTACTGCCCAACACCTCGGACTCTCAGACATATACTATATAATTGCTTGTTAATAATAACAACTTACAATGTGTTACTCATTGCGACTTTTGTCTGGTCCTGATTGCTTGCGTGCTGACGGCCCTGCTGACTCGTCGTTGATGCTCCGCTTGGCTTGTTGAGTGAAGTTGGTTGAAGTTGGTGGCTTGGCTTGCTTCCTTCCTATATATCAGCAACGTGGATGAACTCGAGTTCCGCTGATGATCCAGGTTGTTTACTGGAAAACTTCCTTCAAATGACCCCACACCTGACACCAAAAGACGTGTAGTGATCCCTCACTAACGCTTATATTTTTGAGTTCAAAGACGTTGACGGTTGAATAGGAGAAAAGGTTGCAGAGACAAGTTACACAAGTTAGGTATAAGTAGTTTTATTAACGTTTTAAAAAGTAAATGATCACAATTAAGTGTATTATAAATTTGAGGTCAGAGCGAAAAGCATCTGCCCGAGAAGTTAGTTACGTACAGTATGTACGTAGTGCAAACTCTAAACTAATTCTAATTTTGCTATAGACATCATCTTATATTTATATGAAATCTATGCGGATATAAACGTACACGGTAGAGTCAAGGAGATGGATATCTGAAAGGAGCCGGAGCTAGATGCTGTTATTGCCAAAAGACCTGAACTATAACAATTTAATAGTTCGTTTCTGCGAAAACCTATTAATGATTTTAATGTTAATGCTTTCGCATTACTTTGGCCCTGCGAAGATGAGTACATTTATAGTCTTATTCCACGTAAAACTATTAAAACTTTAATAGTTTTGTTTTCACATAATTTTGGCCATGCGAAGATTGAGTGCCTTTATAGGTTTATTTTTGCATTATTTTGGTAAAGCGAAGATTCGTACATTAATCGTTAAGTGCGCTGCCAAACCCAAGGTATTGAAAAAAGATTAATAGTCTTGTTGTTGTCCAGCGTGCCACATCGTGAGCAGTGGCGGATCTAGGATTTTTTTATGGTGTGTGCTATTTTGTTAATAATAATAGCCTTAAAGTACTTACTATGAACAATTTGGGGGGGGGAACTAATAATTTGATACTTAAACATAATTAAGCAATATAAAAATTATAAACAATTTAACATATATTATTTTTTAATTATTAAGTACTTTACAATGCAATATAATATAATATTATTTGAATTTTTTACAATTATTATATTGACCAATCCTCCATTTGCATTCTTCTTCTTTTTTTTCTTGAGAACTGATCGACAACTTTGTCAATATCTATATCTTTATCTTTATGAATATTTAATAGAAATAAACCATTTAGTCTAGACTCAGTCATTGTAGAGCGCATATAATTTTTTAATCTTCTTAAGGTAGAAAAAGATCTTTCAGCAGTTGCTGTTGATACTGGAAGTGTAGCAAATAATTGTAAGAGGATTTTGATGTTTGGAAAATATTCTTCACAGTATGGGAGTGATGTAACAGCAGTATGAGGAATATTTGTTTCTATTTTATTCCATTTAGTTTTCCAAAGATTAATTTCTGCTTTTAATACTAAATCTGAATTTGAAAGTAAATCTTGATCATAGAACATTGCAGCATTTAATATAGCTTCAGTGCTATATGAATCTTTATGAATTGGAATGAGACCTTCGAGTGGAATAACTTTAACAAATTTATCACTGAATCTTGATTTTAATTCTTGGATCATATGGTCTAAAAATGGTATAAAAATTGTTATTTTAAACCACTCCATAGGATTTTGGTTGACATTGGCATTAATGTTATTCCTTTTTGTTTGATGGCCACTAAGTGCCAATAATATAAGGCCAATAAGATAGCCATTGAAAGCGTCTAAGCCAGTCCAGTTGAAATTGTCTATTTTGATTTCCATACTTATAAATAGGAAAAGCATACCCAACTGCGGGAGTCCAGGTATTTTTTAAATATACAAATTTTTCCTCATCAGTTAATTGTTTATCTATGCAATGACCTATATCATAGGCATTTATATGTGTAGATTTTTGCACATGCATATCAACTTCTAACTAATTAAAAAAAGCATCAAAATAACAAAAGCAAAGCTAGATGCAAAACGCAAGCATTAATATCAATAAAACTATTTTTATTTTATTAAAGAAATATTACCTGCTGAGAAACTGAAGAAAAATCTATCACAGTATTATTGTCTAATATGACTTTACATGGATCAGTTACTTGATTTACTTCAATTGCTAACTAAGTTTGAATAAAGATGAACAAAACAATAAGATTAATTCACTGAATAAATATTCTGAATACCTAGTCTGAACATGTACTACTTACTTTATTTGAAATTGTAGAGCAACTATTATTATCCGATTCAACACATTCATTGTTTCTAGATTTTTTACAAAAATAAGATAGTATACTTATACTGCCATTTCTCTTGGACCTTTTAGATTCATCACTTTCATTCATGATTTATGATTTCAGATTTACGAATGGACAATGGTTAATTAGTAATCACTAATCACTAGTCAACAGTTACGTTACCTCCTTATATTTATTATAATAAGTACTAAGCAGAATGACCGTTGTTCAACAGCTAGGTAATGAGTGATGTACGAATTATTTTTATTTATTAGCATAAAAATACAAATTCAAAGATGTTAACAGTACCTATCATGGCAAAATATTTTTTTTCTGTGATAATATCATGTTTAGCATGTTCTATGATGATATAGATAATATACAAAAACTAATGTTTTGACAGCCGAGCAGCTGACTTATCAGTTAATCTGTTCTAACCTAACCTAACTTATAGAAAACCAGTGTACCTCAAAATTGTGCGTAGTCGCCGACCGGTTTTTGCTACGCAGCGTCGCTCGTTCTGGTAGCCCGTACCAAAAATTTGCCACTCGGCGATTTATTAATAATTTTTAATAAAAATACGCGGAGCGGTGGGTGCTTCAGCTCCCAAGCACCCCCCCCCCCCTAAATCCGCCACTGCCTTTAATAATAATGCATCAGTAAAAGATCACAAAGAAAACAATGTGCAAAAAGATCAGAAAATCGAAAAAAAATGCAATAATAATAAAAATATTTTTTCGCAAAACTTAATTATTAAAAATAAAAATCGAAATGCAATAATAATAAAAACATTTTTTTGCAAAACTTATTAAATGCAAAAACCCCCAAAATATTTTTCATAATACTTATGATATTAATAATTAAAATCGAAATGAAATATAGTGTATTAAAAAATATTTTAAAATAAATTGAATACCTTAGTTAAAGGAATTGTTATTTATAATAAAAGAATGGAAACTATAAAAAATTATAATAAGTTACAAGAAATCGAAATGCAAAACGAAGTAGAAAATTATATATTAAATAAAAAAATAAAAAAATGTTATGTGCAATTTTGTGCTTTTGAATATTATGAAAATAATAAAAAAAATAATAAAATATAATCTAAATGAAATTCCAATTAAAGGAAAAATTTTAACATCGGGAACCAATCAGAACCAACTTATGTTTCTAAATGTCTACAATTACCAACTTGGTTAGAACTTTGTAAAATAGCTAATGATCAAATAATTACAAACAGTCCAGATTCATTCAAATATCTCTATAATATTAGTGTAATGAAAACTTTAGGAGATATTAAAATATGTTCTTTTGGTATAGCAAAACTTAGAATATAACTATATTATTAATTTAATTCTTTAATACAATTGTTCTATTAAAAAATGTTCAATATTTAACGCGTGTACCATTCGGACACGCGTTGTTAAAATCCAAAAATCTTTGAAAACGATTTTACACTATGATACTATGAGGGGGACTAATAAAGAATTAAAATCAAAAATGTTTAATGCAAAAATGAAGATTCTAGCATAAATTGCAACTGATTTATACTTAAATGAAAAATATGAAGCGGGGGGTAAACTTTTAATATGTAGTGTAGATAAGCATATAAAACATATCTGTGTTGATCCGACTTGAGAATATCAAATATTAAATGAAATATAGGACTTATACGACCGTATTATTTTTAATAATTTTGATGGAAACAACGGAAAAAAATGCAAACAATTTACAAAATCATTCCCAGCTTTGCAGATACCCGTTAGGAAAAAAGGGGGCCGGAACTCTTTTACAGATATCTGCAAGGCTATCGTGGCAGTGAAGTTACCCAAGTGCTTTATTCAGCAGGTCAACGACAGTTTTTCAGTAGATTGCATAGGTGTGTGCACCCACCTATACAATCTACCGTAAATGTCTTCAAAGCCTGATGAAATTAGTAGGTGATATGGGCGCCACACATTCTCCCTCTAGTTTCAATCCGACCAAGAACACATTTAAATCAAACGCGTTAACCACTGAGCTACAACACTTGGGCATGTATAATGATTATTTAAACACTATTTAAATAATTCGATAAAAAAAAACATCATAATATAAACTATACATAAATATTATGATAAGATATTCAATACCGGATGTTAATAAAATAATCAGTCCAACGTTGATATATATATATATATATATATATTATTATTATTTTTATTATTATTATACCACACTGTATAGGTACTATAATATTATATATAATACTTCGTAAGTATTATATTCGATTTAAATTTTCGATGTTTAAAAAATTTTATTTTTTTATAATAAATACCTAATAGTAATGGAAAATAAAAATCAAATTAATGAATTATCTCTGCCAAAAACTATAAAAAAAACGATAGATGCTAATAATGTAAAAAACGAATTTGGTCCATATGAAATCAAGCATAAAATTTACAAACATGAGCAAAATAAAGAGGAATCGTTTCGCAAATCATGTGTAATATTCAATAAATTTAATAAAATATTACAAATAAAGTACAATAATCAAGAAAATACTTTTACATCGGAAGAAATGGAAGAAATTAATACCGATACGAGCAATGTATTATTGCAGTCATGATTGGAATCAAGGTGCAATATCTGAATTTATTGATTTTCGAAAAAACTAGAAATATCCTATTTTGTATTCTCAAGTTCGTGGTGATTATATTCCAACTTGGGATCAATGGGAATGTTTTCGTATGATAAAGTCTGAAATTACAATATCCCAATTTATTAAAAATTTTAATGATGATTTTAAGGACATACTTGATTTTTTTTTCTATAATTACATAGATATTAAAGATAAATTATGGTTATCAGACAGATATAATTTCAAGTTGTCATTTTATAAAATATACATATGGTCTAACTCCTCAAAACGATGATACAGATGAAGAATATGAATGTGTAAATATTAATTGTGAAATAAAAATTGCTAATAAAATAAAAATAATCGAATATGTTAAAAACAACTAGTTGTTAAAAAACAACGTTAACGTAAAAAACAACATCAACGTTTACCTATAGTTTGTATAGGTACTATAATATATAAATATATAATACTTCGTAAGTATTATATTCGATTTAAATTTTCGAAGTTTAAAAAATAATCAGTCTAGCTCCATATTATTATTATTATTTTATTATTATTATTATTATTATTCGAATCATGTAATTCCTCTTGTATTAATTTGCGTAATTCGTTTAGTGAAAGTTTAATTTCATTATAATTTTTGTTTTTAATAAAACTTAAAATATTTTCGAAACAACAATTACTAATGAAATAGAAGTTAAATGATTTTAATTTATTATGTTTTTTGTAATAAACATATTTTGCAACATTTTCGTAACAACAATTATCCAATATTTGATTCCATAACATATTACTAATTTCAGAATCAATATCAATATCAATATCACTATCATTAAATATAGGTCTTAGGATTGTACGTTGTTGTTCAATCATATTTAAAAGTGTTTTCATATTTTCCATTTCTATTATTTATATTAGTAAATATATTTTTTTAACATCGAATTATTAAAACATACATCAAAGTGTCTGACATATATATATTATTATTAAAAAAAAACCGGACTCACACGGTTCATGAGACAGACGGACAGACGGACGTTCAATGTTATTATGTCTGTCCGTCCGTCTGTCTGTCTGTCTGTCCGTAAATATTAACATTGTTATGTTATTTAGAAATAAATATAATTTAAATACGTGATTAAAAAAAAAAAATACATCTCTATCATAATAAATAATAGAAATGGAAAATTTGAAACACTTTAATAATGCAACGATCAATATGATTTTGTAAAAGTATGTGACTTAGAAAAAGGAAAAAAATATGAGGTTAGGTACTCGTTTCAAAAATATTGATACAATTTATGGCAAGACAATAGTTGTTATATTAGATAAAAAATTGCAAGTATTTTTACCAGATAGATTTCTAGATGTGTTTACAAAAGAAAATAATTCATTATATAATCTAAGTTCGAAAAAATTTAATCTTGTTTATAATGAATTGCAAAATTTAGATAACGGAAGCACAAAGCAATTGATACAATTTGAACTAAATAATAATATATAATTATAATAAATATATATAATTACTTTTATAAATGGTATTTATAAAAGTTAAAAACGATTGTATTTATTTATCAAACAAATATTATAATAATAATAATTATAAAATAGGTCTGGATTCAATATTTATTAAAGGGTTAAATTGGTTTAATATTGAAACAGATTGTAAAATACAAATTAATGATAAATTTATAGAAATAACAAAAGGGGAATATAGTATTAATGAATTAAACAAGCAATTTCATCCTTTAGTATTATCTTATGTTAATAAAAAAATTAAAATAAAATCTCCTTGTTATTATAATTTAGATGAAAATTAAAAAAATTATTTAGGTTTTCAAAACATAACAATTGATTTTTTATTAACTATTAATAAATCAGCAATGTATGTTCCTACTTCCAATGATCAATATATAAAT